CCACACACACACACACACACGTACACATTAAGATGGGAGGGCTAGAGATGATGGGCTGCTGTGATAAAGGGGGTCATAAAAGCAGAATATCATCTGGTCTTACGGGAAAAGAAAATCATCATTGACAGCCTCTCAGGTGAGTAACACAGCTTTCCTCAAAGAGATGCGCTAGAAAGAAATCTGGAGTTGTTCATAGAAATTAGCATGCAGCACAGATAAAGCTGTCTGTCAAAGACAAACTTCTTTGTAGCCGTTTTTTTATTGATTTTACATGAAAACTAGTGGGCAGGTAATTACAAGTTCTCAGATACGACCACAAAAAATGTAAGCTTGAAAGTTTTAGATGTTTTTGTAATTTTACATGTCTGGTTTCTTTTATCAGGAACAGTGATATGGCGGTAAATAGTACAGGATCATCAAACAGCAGCTGATATGAACAACATTTCAGCATTCATTGTTCTCTTAAAAGATTACATCATTCATGTTAATTCGAAAACTCTGAGTTTGACTGTACATTTCACGTGAATGATAAATTTGGGTCTGACTAAAATGGAGTTTGAAACTCTGTTCAGCAAGTAAAAAGGTGGACAAAGTGAGTTTATGTTGATTTTATCAAGTTTTTTTTTGCAGCGCAGAAGTAGGTAATTAATGTGTTTTTTAAGAATACATTTTCCTGTTTATGACCAGGATATGGTCTAATTTCGCAGATAGGAACGAGGACATGTTATATGTGTGTTTGCACAGAAATTAAGTGTGTTTGTGCTTTTGTGTTCCCAGCAGCCCTGCTCATAATCCAAAGAACATCTTTCAAGACACATCTATTCCCTGTTTTTGTGGCACCGACACTCTGAGACAATGCTGCGTAATCTTCCTGTCCTTATTTTTTGCCTTCTTGGCACAGGTAAAAAACTAAATAATATCCACATTTACTATACAGACCTTTCTTGGTAACACGATCTTATAAGCTTCCCAGAGTTTTTAAGTTGTAACTAATGGCTTTACTGATGGTTAATAAATAATTTACCAATGGTCTATTGATTATTAACAAGAAGACATTTGTTGCATGGTTGTTATACAGTTATAAATGTTGGCAATCCATTAATACATGTTCATGGTTCAGGGAACAGATGTTAATACAACATGAATTATTCTAAGACATGTACTCATTAAGTCTGCTTTTGTACGTGTTAATAAGTTAAACGGATTTTGGTCCAGATTTTTAGAAGCTAAGTGATCATATCAGTCAAAGGGATATTTCGCAACCTGGCAATCCAAAAGTTGTTCTTATTAATGCTTTTAACTGATTTACAAAGCATTAGTGAGAACATATAACCCTTTTATAAATGGTGCCTTATTAGCAAGTGGTACCAAATTAATTTTCATAATGATGTCTAACTGTGGAAATTACACCAGTGGGTTCAGACAACTAAAAATTGGAAATTTAAAGGAGCAAAAGTGAGACTTCTGTGATCTCTTAATACAAAACTGTTCCAGTGACAACTTGTATCTTTGTCCTCAAATGTTATAAAAAATCCGCATGACAAAATAAAAGTTGAGATGAAGTCAGTACTTGTGTGTAGTTGCTACCTGCATTTGTGGAAATCTTGTTAACATTCATTTTTAATGCGCTATCATAGGGAACATTTTAATGATTCTCCTTCAACCCTTTTCTGTCTTTTTGCTTTTACTGACACAGTCACCCTGTGTGGAGCGCAGTCAACCACTGTAACCCCAACTGCAACAACTGCCGAGAGCACGACAGCTGCCACCCCTGGTCCATCCACCCCTGGTCCATCCACCCCTGGTCCATCCACCCCTGGTCCATCCACCCCTGGTCCATCCACCCCTGGTCCATCCAGCCCTGGTCCAGCCACCCCTGGTCCATCCAGCCCTGGTCCATCCAGCCCTGGTCCATCCAGCCCTGGTCCATCCAGCCCTGGTTCAGCCACCCCTGGTCCATCCAGCCCTGGTCCATCCAGCCCTGGTCCATCCAGCCCTGGTCCATCCAGCCCTGGTTCAGCCACCCCTGGTTCAGCCACCCCTGGTCCATCCAGCCCTGGTCCATCCAGCCCTGGTCCATCCAGCCCTGGTTCAGCCACCCCTGCCGGAACGTCTACACAAACTGCACCTTCTACGGGAACATCTCCAAATACTATAACCGTCCCTTTGGAGGGAGATTCACCAGAAGGACTCTCATCTGGAGCTATAGCCGGTATTGCCATCGGCTCCATCGCTGGGGTGGCTGCTGTTGGTGAGTACAATACAAGCACTCTCTTTACGGAGCACCTCATTTCTGCTTCCTCAATGACACATCATCCTGTTATTCATTGACAAGGATTTGGCAATTTTTAAATTGAACAACGCAAAGATAAGAAATGTTTCCTCGGCACGACTCCCCCTCCTGCTGATCCTGAGCATCTGAATAAATGCAAACCTCACCGTTCAAATCAACCGGTCGAGAGATGCACAGTAGCTGCAGGTTGTAGCCAAATTTAGTGGCAGTACCCTAAATCAAGATTATGAGATACTAAGTCAAACATTTGCCTTTCTAGATCAAAAATTATAAGATAATAAATCCTAATTTTGGGACAGTAAGTAAAAACTTTGACTGTGTCTTATAACATTTACTTATTATCTCATAACTATCAAAACCCAAGACTATCTGATTATTTTTGACTTTAGTATTTATTAATTTGAAGGATTTAAGTATTGTTTCCTTTATTATTCCTAACCATCTAAATCCACTGTCCACCTGAGCAACTGACATTGCTCTTAAATTGCAAGCAAACATATGCAAACCATGGTGGCTAAATAGCAATGTAAGAAAAGAATTCACAAATCATGGCTGAGTGTTATTTACTAATTCTAATCATATTTTGAGTATTCAGCATGCAGACAAATAATTAAAAAGAAAGCTTGCAGGTTTAGACTGAACACTAAAAATGTATTTTTTTCTATTTTCAGGTGGTGGCATCTTCGGCGTGCTGAAGTACACTGGGAGGTTCTGAGGCCAGTCCAATCCTGACCCATTCAACTGGACAATGAAAAGATCTCAATGTCTGAAAGGCTCAAGTCAGAATAAAACAACATGACGTGATAATAATGACTTGGGCCAAGAGGACAACATTAAAGTGATTTTTACTACTTTGAAATAATCTTTGGCTGATCAAAAGACCATCCGTTCGGATGAAAACTGTATTTTATACAAATTATTTTAGAAGTCGTCTTTGGCTGAGTATTTTTCATTGACTGTTTTCTTAAAAAAATGCTTTGTAATCAATCTATAGATTTAATAAATAAGTGTTATTGTTCTCTTAATTGATTTCTGTGACATAATATCACATCTTTGTCATGTAGCAATGACCAAAGCTGTCTGGGTAACGTCTCGGTGCTGATTATGTAAGTATACGTTTGATCATTTTATGAGTGTAATGAGGATACGGTTCCTTATATGTGACGTCTTTAATCGGTGTTTGCAGCATATGATGAAGAAACTTTCAATCTAATTTTAGACACACTGGTCCCAGCTTAATGCTTCGATTCAACGGTGAAGTGATTAGAAATATTAGCTTGAGAAAATCTCAAATCAAGGACGATTTATGAGCTTTTTACTGAGCTTTCAAGCACATCTCATGGATGGAGTTTGCTCGCTATGATTCTTGATAAAAACCTTGTCAGACAGACAACTATTGATGTGGTAAGTCATTAAAATGTCAAATATCTTTGCTCTAAATGAGTCAGGAGTTAAGTTATCTCCTCTTATCTGATAAACGTGCTGATTGACCTCTACTCTAGGCCTATAAATCATTTTGATCTATAAAAGCTTGGTATTCATGCATGAGATTAACTTTATTTTCAAATTTCGATGTTGCTTTCAATCTATGTTACAACCATAGACTGTATGTGAGTTAATATTAATCATGCAAAGGCTTGTTTAGCGGATTGGTACAATTATAACAAAATAAACAATAAGTTAGAGACAAGGGTATAATTTGTGACAGGTGATATAAGCCAAGGCGAAGGGCTAGGTAAAATATAACTTGTAATAAAAATTCCATTTGTCAAAGATTTGGGGTGTAATGTGCTGGTACAAAGCACAATGGCATTGATTCAGTTGCTATTGTGATAGGTAATTGTGAGTATTTTATTTATAGGCTAGGGAAGAACAGAAATACAATAGATTTTGTGTACAGAACTGACCGATAATAATCTTACAGTAGAGACTGTCAGGATGACAAAATTATAGATCATAAACATACGACGAAATGATCCGGGAACACGTCAAGCAGCTTGCAGGTGCCGGCAAACAGATAGGACCTGAGCCACATGACCCGTGCTCCACCATGGAGACCTATAAAGAGAACAGACTAAACAAACACAGGAGGCAAAGCTCAAGCACACCATTCACACAGATAAGAGACAGAAAACAAGCACAGAGAGGGAGAGAGCGAGAGAGACAAGGACAACATGCACTCAAGGGAGAGAGTGGAGGCTGGACCTCCTGGAGGACAAAGATCCACAGCCAAACATCTGGAATGAGGCACTGACACCCAGGAGAGAGAGAGAGGTCCCAGGACAGCCAACGCTGCTGCTCAGACAGGACAAAGGGGAGAAACGAGGGAGGGTAGAGGTTTTAATAAAGTTTAAAGTATTCTCGTTCGCAGAACAAACACTAACTACAAGTCGACGGCTTAATAAATACATTGAGCCTCAGAACAACCCGCTGGAAGGATGATGTAACAGGTGCAAAGCCGTAAGAAATCAAAGAATAAGCAACTTGCATTTCAGAGGCCTCAACAGAGTCAGACTGTCTGACGTCAGCAGGGAGGTTTTCCCAGAGGAAGGGGGCTCAATAGGAAAAGGGCCTGCTGACTTCTTTTTAACTCTGGGGACCGACAGCAGCCCTGTATTCTTAGCGTGACGAAGTTTTAAGGAGATCATCAGGTATGAGGGGATTTACAGTTTTTATAGGTCATCAAAAGCACCTTAAAGTGCGATCTGACATGGATAGGGAGTCAATGAAGGGAAGCTCAAACTGATGTAATATGGTCAAATTCTCTCTAGTTTTAGCATTCAGAGCCATTTGAGAAAGACGTAACAAAGATGTGAATTTAGCTATATAGGATTCAACAAATGAATATTGCACTACTTATTATGCAGAAGTAGCAGGAGATAAAGGGCTAATTTTGCGTTTAAATTAATCTATTTTTTACAGAAAATAAAATAAAAAAGTGATGTGGTGTAAAGGACGGGGAGCTAACAGCCAGTTGCTTGTGATTATGTTTGGCTGCAGTGCCAAAAAGAAATCTGGAATATTATTGATTAAGCGAAAGAAATAGGCTGCTTCAGCGATGGGGCTTGCTTGTAATTTAATACACACTCCCTTAGAGGGAGAAAACTTCCAGTTTTGATTCATGTTTTCTCAGTCAACCACAAACAAAAGTCCTTCTAATTATAATATATTAAAAATTGCTTCAGTAAGTCAAGCAAAAGGCATTGGTTAAGTCAGGTGGGGGAGCTTAATGTAATGGTTTTGCCGTGTTTCACAAACTGATATCCAGACGATACTGGAGAATCAAATCATTAACCAGTAAAGCTTTTGATATTCATAAAACAGCATTTCTGGATGGGATTGTTGTTGATATTATAACATTATATGTTGTATTATTAGAACATGTTGGTGGTCTTGATTTGACCAGGTGCTCAGTGGAACACTTCATCGCTGCCAGAGGTGGAGATGAGAACTAGATGGATGAAATTCACACGTTAAGGGAGGGAACGTTTCTTGGGGAGTGATGTAACTCGCTGAGGGTGAGGGACCAGAGGAAATACATCGATGCTGACTCAGGTTTCTCTGGCATACTCCCACGTGCTAGCTGGGTCTTGTTTTGTGATATGCGACTCCTTTATCCTGTGATAGTTGCACCCATAGATTGGCCTGTATTGGGAAAATCTGGCTCCAGGTGGACAGTCAACAGTGGCGAGTGAAGCTTATCTAGCACAATTAGCGTACGCTGTTTACCTCCTAAAAAATAAAAGGGAGCAAGTCGATTGTGACATGGGTTTAGCATAGATAGAGTAAGAGAATAGATAAGTAGAAGAGTGAATATAACTAGGTAAACACAGAGAGACAGGCAGGGACGAAAAGAGCAGTAGACGACAGTTGCGGATCTCACAGGAAGTTGCGTCACGACCACCAGAGTTCTTCTTCGAGGTTTTACGGAAGTTGACAGAAGGTACTTTGCATTACCGCCCGTTAGCGCCTCCCTCTGGATATAGTGTTCTTCAACATACAATATTGTCAAATATACACATATATATGCAAATTTTACATAATTGTATATTGTTATATACATATTGTGTTTACGTGTGTTTTCATATGTGTCTGTAATAGAGTTACATTTATTTATTATGCTCAACTTTCTCATTTTCATGACACTGTTGGATGTTTTCCCATAATGAAAAGTGTACCGTAAAGGCTGCTGTGTCCGACTCTCAATCTGATTAGTTACTTGTTCTTTCCTGTCAGTTCCCCTACTTCTTACGTTATTTTGGACTGAGTGAAGAGGTCGTCTTTTTGTTGTTGCGTTATCCTAATACTGTTGTGCTGGGACCCACATGAATGTGATACTTTCCTCTTGTCTGACTACTCGGAGTCCATAAAGCAGATCCTTTATAATTTAGCCTCGACCTCGTTACCACTAGGATAGGCTAAACTAGGGCCTATATTTTATTTCAGATTATTTACCGGTAAATAAACATAAACCACACAAATTATATTACATAACATCTACCTAAAAAAACACCTCCTGTGATATCACAACTGCACTTTAAAGTGGACTTTAGCCTTCAGGCCTTCACGGTTTTATGGTCATTAGCTGTGGAAGTGTCAACATAGGGAGCGCTTGGTTACGACAACGAAAACAGCACTGCTCCCATGCAGGAGGCAAATTACTGTTAATACCCCGAGCTGTGTGATCAGCCCATATGGTGTGCATGCGGAGCCAGAGGGACTGCTTGTGCATGCATCATGTTGGGGGAGGGTAGTGTCCTATCGGTGTATCTGTAAAGATAAAACATTTAAATAAAACCAAACTAATAAAGGCTGTTTTTTTTAAGGGGTGATACCCCTTAAATATGCAAATGAGGCATTATCTAATGCTACCAGCAAATAGACAAAGTGTAGTAAAATAAACGTATAATAAATGTGTATTTTGGTTGTTTCCTTTCCACTAGTTTGAGAGAAGACACGGATGTTCCCAAAATCTCAAAATTGCATGAATAAACAATGTTTTCTCAGTAATAATATCTCAGAAGAGTTTGAGTGAGTATATATGTGTTTATTGAGTGTATGTATTTGCAATTGACATATTGATTGAGGCATTTCACTAAAAACCTAAAATGTCATGGAGCTTGAGGAAAAGTCAGGTGATCACCAAAGTCAGTCGGCTTCCTCCTCTGGGAGCCATGGACGTCTGCACACGATGTCATCGCAATCAATCCAATAGATCATTATGAGATATGATGTCTCAGTACACCAGCAAGCAATCAATCAAACTGGGTCTGATTTATATTAAGTTGATAAATACCAGCCCTATTTTCCCACAACCCTTGTATGCCAGGTTCACATCATGCCATTGATCCCGCTAGCTGTGTGTATCCGAACTGTCCCCAGTGTCGTAGGAGAGGCACTCGGCCCTGCTCCGATAACTTTATTTTTTCTCCTCATAAATTGGCTCCCTCACTAACAGATCATCTGTCTAAGCCACAGAAACCTAATCACACAACACACATTTATTTTTCCCTACGGCTTTAACAAGCTCAGTGGCTCACGGATAAGAGAGATTACAGACAGAAGTGATGTCCCACAGTCAACCTTTGGTTCCAGGTCAGACTGATAGCCGGTTAATGATATATGTGTGGAGCCGCTTTTTAAACATCAGGTAGCCGGTTGTTGTTTTCTACCTGATGTGGCAACGGTTCCTTTCTGGCCTCAGTTTTCTTCACATTTAATAGAATATATATCTGAGTGTCAATTTGTCAGATAACCAAAAGGTACTCATGTCAAGGTACTGGCTACACAATAGTATAATAAATATTAGCATCGGGTTTCACACAAACGTCATGATCAGAGTCAGGTAGTAACGGATAACATGTAATTGAGAAACGGATTACAACAATAACTAATCAACCCAGATTACATTTGAAAAAATCTGTGCCACCAGATCATAGTTACATTGTCAAGGATTACTTATCAAAAATAGGCTTCATGTTAATGCCGGCACGTTTTGTGAGGGTAATTTTATTTGACTAGTTATAAATGCTAAATATGTTCAACTGTTTATTAAAGTAAGTTACTCCTCTCAGGTTGTTTTGTTAATTTAATGAACTTATTTGTTTCTTAAAGATGCTTCATGGTAAATTGAGTTTTCATGCCTTTTTATTTACATTGAAAATGAAAAATTAACATTTTCAGTTCTTGCTTAACAAGAGCAAGATGCATTTTATTTGCATGGAAAATGTTTGGAAATGTTTAAAAAAAAAAAAAAACATATTTGTGGAACTTAAATTTGTCCATTTCTTATTATAAAAGTGCAACATTTTCATTGTTTGATTTTTAAAGTGATCCGAAAGTATTCAGATGAGATTACTTTTTTGTAATAAATGGATTGCATTACTAAATACAAAAATTGCCATGCAATTCATATTCAGTAAACATGACATTACATTTCAAAGTAATCTGACCCAACCTGGCTCATGAGCACTTCACACAGCTCCTCCTAGTGGGCGCAGTGTGAAATAGTCACCCCTGTCAGATGGCCTTGTTTTAAGTGGGTTAAAGGCGTTTCTAACACAGATCCGATCGGACCATACTCTGCTCATTTAGCCTAAAGTCAACTGCAAGCTCACTGACCTCTGCTTGTTACTTTGGATATGTGCAACACTGGTGATTAATATGAGAAATTACAAATTTTTAACGGTGAACGATGCATAAAACCTAGAATATCTTTACCCTCATGAACTGCTCCTCGACTTCCATTTGGCTGTCTGGATAAAAAAAAAAAAAAGGGGTTAAATAAAGTAAAAAAACTACACATAATGCAATATAAGTTAACATTGAATTTTAATCATTTATAGACTCTGAACTGACTTAGGTGTGAAGTCAGCAAACATTATTGCTGCAAGAAGTGTTGTTGATGCATTGTTATACAGCTGCTTTGGTATGTCTGGCTTTCCCACAGAACAGTTACATTCACTGCGCTGTCCATAAATACTGTACAAAAATAATATGTGCTTTGACAAAAACCCATCCTCTCTACATGAGCGGACTCCCACTGTTCTAAGAGGAAACTATAAGGCTTTGTTCAATGACGTATATACACAGTCTGCTCTTTCATTTACTGGCATCCTGTTAAATAGAATAAATTATATCTTGCACTTGCTGTGTGAGGCATTATCCAAGTCTCTGCAATGTCGTCACATTTTAATGTCCTTATGGTTAATAGTCTGTGTCCAAAGTGCATGAAAAAAGTCAAAGAAAATCCACTTGACTGGGTGCAGATTCAGGTCCAGGCACAGCTGTTAAGTCGCTTTTTTGCTGTTGAGTGACTCCACTTTTGCATGTGCACCATGAAAATAGTCCAAAAGATTGTTTTGAGTTGGACTCACAGCTGTGCCTTGAGCTGAATTCTACACTTTTGTTTTTTTTCTTTAAATGCAAGTAATGTTTTCTCTGTGTTAATTCAGTCCCATCCAACGTATGTATGCGCCCAGCTTGACATCCTGAAGTTCGAACGGTCTGTCACACCCGGCCATTCCTCTCCAAAACACGTTGAGAGGAAGGTGAGAGGGCGGTTTTATTCCTTCCCAGCGACACGTCTTTGTGCTCCACATTCACAGTCTGTAATGGCAGGACTCTCTCCACTAGGCAGAGCTCTCTCCCAGCAGGCGGCGTCCGTCCGGCTCCACCAGCGTGGTGCGGCTTATCAACTCCTCCGCTGGCGTCTAAAGCCGACACGTCTGATATTTGCTGTGTGTGGGGGGAGCCAGCTCGTAGAAGAGGACATAGGCGTTGCTGCTGCGGACCTGGCTGGAGGACACTGGGCTCACCCTGCACAGAACACACACACACACAGAACACACACAGAACAGTTTCATTTTCATACTTTTCATTTGACGGCAGCTGCACACACAGTATAACTAGACAGCACAGCTTTCTGCCAATTTGATAAGACGATATGTGAGGTTATGTGACGACACAACAGTAGATCTGAGAGTCCATACCTGGAGTCGTTGTAGCTGTGCCACTCCCCCAATGCCGGGTTCTTGCAGTAGGCCGTGTAATGGCCTCCCAGAGCGTTTCCCGAGTGGTTGGATACGGCGTACAGGTTATACACGGCACGCTCTGCAGGGAGACAAAGAGAGACCTTACTCATCAAATACAGCCGAGCTCGGAAAGTGCACGGAATGTCCTTCCTTATCTCTCCTTGCCTTTTCGGCAAAAAAAAACAAAAAAAACAACTCACCGCCGCTCTCTGACGCGAACTCCCTCAGGTCCAGCTCTTTGAGGGGGAAGTTGACATAAGTGGAGAGTTTGCTGGTTCGGATGTTGGAGTCTGAGAAGCGCTTCAGGTCTGAGAGGAACATCGAGTCAAGGAGCGCGCACATATACACACACACACACACACACACCGGTCCAAAAATGACATTATTGTGTTTTCAGTGCAATTTTGAGTACTTCTGCTCCACAGCATTTGAGAAGAAAAATATGTGAGGAAAGGATACGAAGCACGAGTATCTGGGGGAACTTCTGGACGCTGAATCTTTTGGTGCATTTCCTTCTGGTCTTGCATCGGTTGCACGTCTGAGAGAGGGAGACAGACAAAGAGGGCAGTGAGATATTGCTGCTGTATAATCCATGTTTACGAAGGATCGAGGAGTGTGGAGGCTCCTTACCGGTCTCTCTTCCCCGTCCAACACATCCTCTTTTGTAAAGAGCCTCAAGCAGTCTCTGAGAGTCACTTCACTTGAGCTTTTCTGCGGAGAACAAAGCATGTCCAGTATGTATGTCTCATATACACATACACATATATATACACACACACATATATACACATATATATATATACACATATATATA